TTTGACAGGATGGGCATTCAACAGAGACCTAACTTGTGAAGGGAAACATGGTGCTCATGCCCCTGACCTCCCCCTTCCTTCCCAGAAACTGAAATCCTTCCTCTGTCCATCTGCCCAAGAGGTTAAAAATATCTATGCTGAGTATCTACCCAGACATTTTCTAAGAATACTTTGATTGACCTGGAAAGGCCTAATCAGCAGCTCCATCGCCCAAAAAGGACTAAGAAAGGGCCTTGCTTGATACCCACGGCTCAGGGCCGGTGTCTGTCACCACCTTGTCCCCCTGTTCTCTCTGTCTTCCTCCTCCTTCCATTTTGCCGTTGCCTGGAGATGTCAGGCCAATCAGTCGGTAGAAAACTCCCAACCTCCAGAGTCTGTTTATTCTTTCTCCTTCTATCACAGGCTCAGCAAACAGTAGGGGAGGGTTGACCACAGGAAAGGTCAGGACAGAGAGAAAAAGTCCAAATATGCCAAACTGGGCTTCGTCCATGAGCCGACCTCTACAGCCCTCTGTGCCACATAAAAGTCCACTGCTAGCTACTCAGGAGACTGTGATCTGAGGCTCGAGGTTCAAATACAGCCAGGGAAGATAAATCAGAAAGAATCTCCCACTAACCTGCAAACAATAACAACAACAACAACAACAAAACCTGAAGTACAGGTGTAGTTTATGTAGTAAAGCAGCAGCCTTGGATGGGAAACCAAAGGAAGAACGTGAAGCCCTGAGTTCAAGCCACAGTACACACACACACACACACACACACACACATACACCTTTATGCATGACTATTTTGGCTGACCAAATACTGTCCCATAATTTTCCCTCCCAGTTCCCCTCTTAACTCAAATTAGATTGTTGTATTTCCTATTTGTTTAGGGGTGTCCAATGTAGCCAGGGATCTGCTTCCCCCACTCCCTCCATGGTGCTGGGGATTGAACTTGCTAGGCAAGCACTCTTTTTGCTGATCCTGGGGCTTGTACTTTGAGCCTGGGCACTGTCCCTGAGCTTCTTGTACTCAAGGCTAACATTCTTTCCACTAGAGCAACTGTGCCTCTACCAGATTTTTCTAAGTAGTTTATTGGAGATAGGAGTCTCAGACTTTTCATGGGCTGAAGGTGGCTCAGTAGTAGAGCGCTTGCCTTGCATGCCTGAGGATCTGGGTTCGATTCCTCAGCACCACATAAGCAAAAAGAAAAAAGCTGGAAGTGGCGCTGTGGCTCAAGTGGTAGAGCGCTAGCCTTGAGCTGAAGAGCTGGGGCACAGAGCCAAGGCCCAGAGTTCAAGCCCCACAACCGGACCACCCCCCCCCAAAAAAAAGCTGAGAAAAGTCAGAAAAATGAAGAAATAGCTAAAGAAAATTTATAGCCAGGCAAAGATGATACATGCCTGTAAACTGGTTATGCAGTGAAATGAGAGAAAGAGAGAGAGTGGGGGGGAGGGAGAGAGAAGAGAACGGGAAAACCTGAGAACCAGAGAGCAAGAGAGAAGAAAGGAGTAAGAAGAGGAAGATGGGGGCTGGGAAAGTGGCTCAGTGGTAGAGTGCTTGCCTTGCATGCATGAGGCCCTGGGTTC